GAGAGAGAGAGACAGAGAGAGAGACAGAGACAGAGACAGAGACAGACAGACAGACAGACAGACAGAGACAGACTGACAGACAGACAGACCGATAGACAGACAGACCGACAGACAGAGAGGCAGACAGGCAGACAACAGACAGATGACCTTTGAGTGAGAGCCATACGGTCAGTGTGAGCACTGAGAAAGGCATTTGAACTTTGTGTTTGCATAAGGGGGCAGGGGGGGGGGGCACAGGGTGACATCGCGGTTAACAATTCGCTACCTCAGAATTACAAAGCTCTATCTGCACAGAACCTCGTTTTGATTAATTTCAAGACAATTTTTTTAAAATTTCACAGTATGTCAAGTATTTTCGAATGCAATTCCTTGAATATTATCTTGATAGAGAATCCGAATATTCTTACGATTTTGATAGAGCAGATGGACCATTTGCTTTCTGATTTTAACTCAAAACGGCCAAAAATGTCAGATAGAACTCTGTATTTGTGAGGTGGCGAACTGAAATGAAGAGAAGGAGAGTAGGCCTACTTCTTTACCCACGAGAAAAGGAAAAAGTCCAAAGGAGATCAGCCTGATCCGGACTGTATGACGTATGCGCAGGGTAGAGAAATCCGACTTGTGTGAGGGCTCGTATTATCATGCTGCAGTCGTGCTGAAAACTGAAAAATGAAAAAATAGATGGCCTCATTGGCTGCATGTAATGGTGGAGTAAAACTTTCTCTACACCAAGTTATGACCCTATGCAGTTGCGAGCGCCGTAAAAACTCTACAAAAACTGAAAGGGATACTGCAGCCCGTCTCAGGCTTGGGAGATGATGAAAAGTCAAAGTAATAAAAAGCCCATACGTCATATGCAGTAAGAAAGAACACGTTAAAAAAGGACGTCAGGGAAAGACAACCCCCAGCCCCTGTTTATCTCCGTGTGTTTATCCTGTACTTGACAGCAGTCTCAACACTCGCGGAGATAACGCCCCTAACAGGGGAAGTAATCAAGAAAGCAGAGTTGTGTCAGGGAGATTACCTGCAATCTGGAGAGAGTTGTTGTTGGGGGTTTTTTTCTACCAGAATCTTGCCCAGAGGGCACCATAATCGTGACCTGAATGCCAGCTGATCGCGCTGGAGGATGGAGAGAGAGAGAGAGAGACAGAGAGAGAGAGAGAGAGAGAGAGAGAGGGAGGGAGGGATGGAAGTTCATGTTTATAGCTTTCCTTTGAAAGTAAAAGGGGATATTCTGTTAGAGAATCATTTTATGTATTAGGAAATAAGGGAGAAGCTTCTCGGCCTTTTGGCTAAGATCAGCTTCTCCTCCGGCCTTGTGCCCACTGGTTTAGCGAGGCGGATACTGCCCGAGGCACCCGAGGGACGGAGAAATCTGCCCCTCTTTTCTATCGAGTGGACAGTTATCGTCCATTATTTAAATTAAAAAAGAAATAAGGGAGAATCATGAACTGACTGCAGAATGCTCTTTATTCCATCGAAGTCATCTGAGAATCGTTTTTTTTTTTTAAGTAGCCATTTTACGGCACTTGCAATACAATTAGTGTCCCATATTAAAGGCGTTACTAGAGAGAAATAAAAACAAAAAAGAAGGGGAATAATGTGAAACAATCAGCACTTCCATAGAATAAAACGTCAGTTCTGTACACCTCCAAACATGGGCTGGGGCTCCGGCGTGAAAGGTAGAAATATCGTGTATTTTAGGGGGGAAAAAACATGATCGTACCTATATCGTCCACTTCATCTTTACATTCAAACCGACCTCACACTTCTCTTCTCATCCTGGCGTTTCTGCTCGAAACTCCTTAGACTGTTTTATATAGGCATCGTCATCCCAGTGCCATCTGCGACGACATCAGCAATCCTAGCTCTCCATTGATCCCTTTGCCCAAATGCTCTAAAGAAAAAAGCTGCAGGTACCTGATTTTTTTCCTTATCACCCATCTGTATAGGCACTCCAAGTACTTTGCTCAATAATGACCTAAAAGTCCCATATCTGCAGGTCGTTGGCGGGTGCTCTGGTGTGGTTTGCTTTTTCTTTCCTGTCAAACATCTATCGTCCTTATCTCTCTTCCTTCTTTTTTTGTGGTTGTTACTCTCTTGTAACACCTCTAATCTTCGGCACTTATATGACCTTATTGTGTTGCAAGTGCCGTAAAACACTTTGATGTAAAACTAAACTAAAAATCCCATATCTCCTCTCCTTCTCTTTGTGCAGGCATCGGGAGTATCGGTGGCGGACGAGTGCCTTCTGGCGTTTGACGAGGTACAGATGGGCCACCGCTGGCTCTACATCATCTACCGCATCAGCGACGACCTCAAGACTATCATCGTGGAGGAAAAGGCTGGCCACAGTAAGGGCGGTGTGCGCACTGTGCATGATGCGACTTTTAAGTGTGTTTGTTAGTTTTTTGTTCTTGTTTTTGTTGTTGTTGTTGTTTTTTAAATTCTATTTTAGCATTTGTGTTTTATCAAAACTTCCACACCCCCATCGTGGGTGGATGGCGGGTGCTCCGGTGTGGTTTTCTCCTTCTTTCCTATCAAACATCTGTCGTCCTTTTCTACCCTCCTTCTATTTTGTGTTTGTTAATCTCTTGTAGCACCTCTATTCTTCGGCACTTATATGACCTTATTGTGTTGCAAGTGCCGTAAAACTCTTACTAAATCTAAAAGACCTCCATCGAAACAATTTAGGTCATTCAACAGGCAAGCTTCGCCACTGTCTGTCAAAACCAAACCGGGCTAAAAGAGATGCAATATCTCAGCAAAAAGATAGAGAAACTTAAATTAAAAAGTTCTTCCTCACCCCCCGTCCCCTGGAATTGATCTCAGATCTTCTGCGTGCCACGGCGAAAGGCTTTACCGCTACACCATAGACGATGCAATGAGTGTTGGTTAGAGTAGAGGAAATCCAGAGTTCGTAGGCTTACGGGAGAGGGTGGTTGCTAAAAAATGAATAAACAAGCACTATCTTCATTGGAGAAAAATATTTGATATCACGGGCTTTGTATCTTTGATAGGATTTATCGCAGTTCTTTTGAATATAATAGGTAGAAAGAAAATTTCACGTAGCAATCCGAATACAACGTGGGTTCTATAATCGTATGCTTAGTAGGTCAAAATAGTAAGACTTCTTGGTGTTCGTTGGCTGACCCTACAATGAGTATTTTTGAAAGTACATGACGTTCATCTTTATTCCATACCCATTGTGGGTAGATTTGAAATGAAACTGTGAGCCGTGTACCTTCTGTGTGCAAACATCGTTTGTCGTTTAAACACTCATCGTTTGTCACACACACACACACACACACACACACA